GTGACATTTTCTGGTGAAATGTCAGCGTTCATGACTATTTGAAGTAGATGCTCTGGTAGCAGCTTGCACACATAATTAGCATATTTGTTGACTGAGGCGTGAGCGCTGAGGTTGTCGTGTGCAGATGATACGTGCAACAAGTCATTGGTGGTCATCAACACAAAGGAACCCTTGGTTTGTTGTTTTAGAGCAAAGCTGCTTTGATTTGCAGGACTGAAACAGTGTCCTACTTTGTGTGTTTTGGGATGGGGCGCTCTTAAACTTGTACATTATGGTGAAATGGTTTTTAAAACTCAAGTGAAAGTGACATTGAAATATTGCAGTAATGGCAGAAATGGTTGCTGCAACAAAACATGCTGAAGCAACGAGAAATCGCAACTTTACTTTCTTTTATGTTGTAATGCAGACGCAGCATTGGGACGTTCTCCTGTAGATTAATTTGCTCATAATGAGGAAGAAATAGTTTGGAGGTTTGCATCAATTAATAGAGAAACAAAGAGAGAAAAAACTTTTAATGTCAACTGGACCACTCTAGGTCTCTCGTTCCTCTAGTTTTGTCTTTCATATGGTTCTTTTTCCTCCTAATTTTCTGTCTAATCTTTTGTCTCCTCGCTCCTTCAATCATAAATATAAATAATCTGCTTTAATCATCTCTGCTCAGTTGGTTTTCACCTGTACAACTGACCTGCTGCTGCATCAGTCGCTGCTAATAAAGCTCCAGATAAACATCTCATCTTCATCCTCTCTCCTGCTTTCACACTTTTTTTTCTGTATGTGTGCAACTGTCATGTTAATTTTTCTCACTTCTATGTGCGTCTCTGTGTACATCTATTCCCAAACGTGTCACCAGTGTTTTCAGGCTGTTTGATTTGACTCCTTTTTTTTTTTTCCTTTTCTTTTCCTCTTGCCCTAAAACTTGGTGTTTGTTTTACACTATTTCTGTCACCCGCTTCGTTATTCATTAACATTTCAGTCTCTTTGTTCCTCCTCTGCCTCTTTTTCATCTTTCCATTGTTTTCCTTTCTGTCTCTATACTGTATGTGTGCTCTCCTCCATGGCTTCCCTTCCCTCTCCTTCTCTTTTAATCATGTTTTGCTCCTCCACATTAATTCTGCCTCATTATATTCACCTTACTAAGGAGATTTTGGAAGTTAGCCTGCAGTCGGTCTCTTTTTCCTGCTCTCGGATGGATGGAGACTCATTACTCAAAACTAAATATCTGTTTAACCCAGTTGGAGCATCGGCAGACACCTACGCAGATACAATTATAATTCTTTCTTGTTTTTCTTTCTATCTAAGTCAGCCGGCCTCCTTCAACTTCTCCTCTTCCACATTTCTTTTACATCCAACGACAAGAAGGTTTAAAATATTTTTTTTAAAGTTCGCTGGTTCAAAAGCTGCAAAAATTTAATCTAACTTGCGAGACTGAAAGTTGCTCTCAGCTGTGTCACTTGACCAGTTTAGTTAATGTGTGCTTTGGTAAAGGCAAAACACAGAAAAACACATAAGATAACTGAGCAACAGCCTGAAATTCTGCTTGTAACATGGTGACCCTTACATAGTAATACAAGGTCAACTTACAGTTGTTTTATATTGTCAAATATTTCCTCATTTCTTTCTTTTTGAAGTTGTTTTTTTGGCCTTTGTGCCTTTATTGGATAGTGTTAGTGAGAGAGAGACAGGAAAGTAGGGGAGGAGGATATGTAGGAAAGGGTCATGAGTGGGATTCGAACTCATGACCTCCACATTGGGACTGTAGCCCTGTACATGGGACGCCAGCTCAACCAGGTGAGCTATAGTGGCGCCCCTATTTCCTCATTTCTATCATCATCATGATCTCACTGATTGTTTGCTGTTTTAATGTGAATTGATTAGTTGATCACTGAACCCCAAAACCCAGCAGTGAGTTTGAAAG